ATAAAAAACGAAATAAGTATAAAACAATAGAACAACATTTAATTTTGCATAAAGCCGCGGTCACGTTTGTGGTCGATAGTTTAGTTTCTGTAAATCATTATGTCAACTGAGGTCAACCTCGTGGGGGCAAGCACACGAGCCAATCCGTTATTCACGATAAATGACAACATGAATTTATGTATCAATAGGAACCTGGATTAGTTGGGGAAATATCCTCGTTGGAGGTCCTGCAAGTACAGTCATAGAAAATAATAACTTCAACTGTGTACTTAGGTACGTTACGTATTATAGATAATAGCATAAAAATATTCGAATATAGTTTCATTAGAATTACGGAGAATACTAACTAATACCGCTTTGTTACTAATATGGCGCATATTATTTGCGAATGTCGAAATGACTGCTTTATTACGTAAAATAATATAAAGCGCCTTATAAAAAAGTAATGAAATGTATACCGTTTAAAAAACTCACTGCATTACTAAATAATTGTTAAGTAAATCTAATTAACGTAAATTATCCATCTACTACTTAGAGAGCCTAAGCCTAAGCCTTTCATTTCTTTGTAGGTAACATTTTGACTTTTTTTTAACTGTGCCACTAACCCAGTAACAAGTACTTACGCACAATCCAGTAACGATCATTAAATCTATTTAACAAACGCTATAAATAATTAAGAAATTATTAACCGATTGCTATTTTATTTTACCTATGTATTAACGATAGACTATAATGCGGCAAACGAGCAGTCGGATTACCTGATGGTAAGCAATCAGCTCCGCCCATGGACAACCGCAAAACCAAAGGAGCCATAGCGTTGACACGCAGGAGTTACGACTTACGAATGCGTTGCCGGCCTTTTGGTGATTAGGGATTGGGGACGGATTGGAGGAGGGGATAAATAAAGGATTATGCCTTCAGTAACCTCACACGGCGAAACACAACTCTGAAATTGTTTCACGCCGGTTTTCTGTGAGGCCGTGGTATCACTCCAGTCGAGCCGACCCATTCGTGCCGAAGCATTGCACTCTGACACTTATAATCCATGCTAATATTATATTAGTTCGATTAATAAGCTACATAATATTGTTTTCTTATAAGTACTATATTATATGTCGCCCATGTTTATCTAAACAGCCAGTATATATATTTTTAACAAAAATATTGACGTCGTCATTAATTTCAGTAGAGGTGCACAAACATGGAGGTGGCAAATCAGCGATTTATTTACATCCGTGTCACGTGATCACGTGGTGTCGGCGGTGTCCAATCTGCGCCTGCGCGGTTAGCTGTCAGTCCGCTTCAATGTTGCCTGCTTATAAATGATCCTACTATTCTGGTAGCAGACCGGATTTTTAATTTAATTCTCTAACAACAGGTTACCGTTGCAATATATTGCCTGTTGAATGTCCTGCAAAATAAATAACGCGTACTTTTTGGAGTTTACGATAAATTTGAATAATCTCCAGTATTTTTAATTGTTTACTTAAAATAGATTTTTCTACTTAAAAAACTCTGTTTTGAGGTAAACCGATAAGTAAATAAATAATTCTTACGTAAAACGTTACTTTTTAGCGGCAATATTGCCAGTATTTACGTGTGTGCAATATTGATTTTGTTAAAAAAAATACTCAATTTTAATTAGTATAAACTAAATTAACAAAAGTGCACCTTATGTACTGCGCACATACATAAATAGACTGAGCCACAATGACCTAGATTCCTCACGACACAAGGTACTTAAGCAAAGGTCCTGCTTGTGGTAGGTACAACAAAAGTCATAACACCGTTATCAATGTACTAAAAAACTACAACCATGAACATTATCTTAAAAAAAATTATAAGTAGTAGGTATTCATAAAATCTACTAGCAACATTCCATATCAGTTTGGTTTACGCAAGCGCGTCAACTCAACGCTTGTCCGCGTACTCAAACAGCTGTTCGGCCTTGAGTTTAATAAACACAATCCAAACAAACTGAACAACATGGACTTCAGTGACAAAGTGTTCCTAATTACCGGGGCCAGTTCCGGGCTCGGGGCCGCAACAGCCATTTATTTAGCAAAATTGTCAGCAAAACTCGCCCTAGTCGGCCGCAAAGAAGCAAACCTGAAAAGAATTGCTCTATACTGTGAGAAAAGTAAAGGTATAAAACCTCTTGCTATTACTGCTGACGTCACCGAAGACCTTGATGCTGAAAGAATAATAAATGAAACAATAGAACACTATGGAAAACTAGACGTTTTAGTGAACAACGCCGGAGTTATTGGAATGGGAGGCATCAAGAACTCGTCTATGGAAACTTATGACAAAGTTATGAACACAAACATGAGATCTGTTTACCATTTGACGATGCTCGCGACACCGCATCTTATTCAGACTAAGGGTTGTATTGTAAACACTTCCTGCATTTCAAGTTCAAAGCCCAGTACTATGGCCTTAGCGTACAACGTTTCGAAGGCCGCATTAGATCACTTCACTAAATGTGTTGCGTTAGAGTTAGCGCCAGATGGCGTTAGGGTTAATTCAGTGAATCCAGGATTTGTAAAAACTAACCTGCTAAAAGGTATTGGTCTGAGCGAGGATCAACTGGCTTTATTTGTAGCCAATGTAGTTGGTAATATGCCTTTGAAAAAACCAGTGGAGGGTGATGAAGTTGCCGCTTTGATTGCGTTTTTGGCCAGTGACAAGGCAAAGAGTATTACTGGTTCATCCTACATTATAGATGGTGGTAGCATATTACGCTAGAAATGTTATTTAATTAATCAATCAATTACCTAAGTATATACTGTTATTGTTAAATGCTGCATTTTGCTGTTAGTATTGTATGAATCATATGTTGAACCTATTTAAACTAAGTATTTTGTTATGCCCAATAGGCTCTATTACCTATTAATTGCATATTATACTAATCATCGCATTTTTTGCCATAATTTCCAATTTTAATAATTAACTCAGCTATGTAATCTCTGAGATTAATGCTTATGTTTCATGCCTAGTCAAAATGTCTATCGTTATACAAATCTATTTTAATTAAGGATAAAATTAAATATAAAATGTATTCTTGTTATATTGTCATATTAAAACAAAGTATTTTAGAAACTTTTAATAAAGTATTAATTTCCGATCAATGTGTTTATTTTCCTTTCAATGACAAAAAATAGAAACTTTATCTCAATTTGTAATCTGTATGTTTTTTTATATACATAATGTAAAATTCAGTAAGTAGTAGGTAGGTCGTAAACCAGTATGATTCTCCCGTCAATCTGATCGGCAGTAGAGATTAAGTGAGTTGACTAAAATGGCACGTGCTATTACCTAGTTGAAAACCTGGATCTTGGGAGAGATTTCAGATAAAGACCCTATAGCGAGGCTGCAAAACATTACTATGATAACCACTACATACTATGAGTTTTTCCCTACTATGATGTTTTACAGCCAGGAGCTTATATTATACCAAAGATATTGTGTTTCGTTTGATTTATATAAAAATAGTAAAGTTGCTAAAGCCTATACTAAAAATAAAATCACGTAGGTATGTACCGCCAAACCAAGCGATAATAAGAACTAAAGAAATAACTTACCTAAATTTCTAGTACCTAAGCTATCTACCATTTCTAACTGTTAGTTACTAATTTCTGCTTAACCTGATACTATGATTGAAAACACTGTTTAGCTAACAACACCGCTCAAGTCGCAAATAGACGGTTTTCACATTAAGGCTGTTTATTGCGCATCAAACATTTGATCCAAGATATAAATTTCCGAAAGCCGTAATTCGAAAAGTAGTGTCGGCATATCCTCTCAATTATATCTTTTTGCTAGCTAAGGGATGATATCAAAAAGTCACAATCGAACTTTAAATGAGTTCCACTAGTAGTTACCTAGCATCCTCAGTTCCTGTATTATGAAAAGCCCAAACACGGCTCATTGTTTTTCTTATTCAACAATTGCCTATCTTTATTGGTCTGGTCTGCTAATTCCACAAGGCTACCGCATAAATGTGTTTTGTAATACAATTCTCCACGTAAATAGACAACTCATGTCGGAATTTACGACACGAAGACATTTGTTAGTAAATGGTTATGTTATTTGCAAGTCTGATTATAACTTTACCTTATAACATGATCACTTAAGATTCCAGAGAATAGTTGAACGTTTTTTTTAGTAAAGTTTTACATACTTACCACATATTTCGTAATCGCGCTCGCGGATAAAAACTGTGGAAGTATATTTCAAGAAAGACTACATTGTTTTTACAGCGTGTGGCCACATAAATATGTATTTATACGGTTGTTGCTATCCAGAAAGGGTAGGTAGTCGATTTAATGCTTATCATTTGTACAAAAAAACTTAGATTGATCACTACACTTCATTATGGTAAAATCTCATTTCTTTGGTCACGTACAAACTTAACATCTGGTCGTAAATGAAGACCAAATTGATTTTTGATTACGGTAAGTCCGGTTGAAAACTAGAGCTTGAAAAGCGTCCTAAAAGGGCCTTACGTAACTATAAGGTATTCAAAGTACGTAGCGTTTATACTTGTATCAAACTAGGTAGATACATCATTGTTACGAATGTAGAGAAAAATTAAAATGTAGTGAATACAACAAACAAGGTGCCGTATTTGGGCAGAGGAACCACACGGGGATGTAGCTCAGTGGTAGAGCGTTCGCTTTGCATGTGAAAGGCCCCGGGTTCGATCCCCGGCATCTCCAAAACTACTTTTTGTCGTTTCTAGTTTTATGTAGGAAATATTTATAACCACATGCAGTAAATAAACCGAGGAACCACACTGTGTAATGACCATTATAATGGATTTTTGTAATTTTATATTAAAATATTTGTGTAATAAGAATAATTTATCATAAAAAGTTCATACGTGTTGAAACTAAACGTAAGACGCTAACCATGCTGATATAATTGAAATTCTATTTTGGTAAACTATAATTATAAAAATAAATCATTAATTCGGAATAAGAAAACAAAATAAAAAACAATGTCACATTCTGTTGTATTTGTTCGAGTAGAGTACAAATTAAAGTAAAAAATTAAATACAGATTTAAAAAAGACCGCAATTAATCGCATAAAATAATAAAAAAAGACAGCAGTCGACGAAGGGAATCGCAATCAAATAATCTGACGTGTCAACCGATTTATTGTTACACTGAAAATAATTTAATCATTACAATTAAAACGTATCTCCGAGATAATAAACAACTATTTTAATATTTCCAAAAATACACTGGAAAATGAATTATTCATAATCGAGATTATTGTTAATGTTTTTCTTATAAAGGAATGGAAACATCATCGATACTAATCAGAAATCGATTACATTTACTAAGATAATATACATCGATTTTTATCGATTCTTTACTTTGAACACGACTCGAAGACATTACGAGCTTATACGCGCTAATCTAGCAAACTCTAGGTATACAATGAACACATTGTAATTTGGGAATTACATACATTACACTTTTAGAATCTCATTTTTTTTCTATTCACCAGCATAAGGGAAACGTTCCTAAAAGGTCGCATATATACACGCAGGTTAAACTGGAGCAAACCATTCAAGCTAACCATAATTGATAATTTTACAATTCATTTAATTAAAAAATATATATTCGTTTAATTTTTTTTAAAGTTTACCTGGGTGTACACGGCACAAAGACTGATAGAACGCACATACTTAGAAATGAATTTAAACAAAATTAAAAATAATTAATTAATGCTAACAATTCTATCAGTCTCGGAATACTGGCTGAAATATAATTTCTGAATGAATGAATTTGTAACGTCCTTCGATAATAATTAATGTTATTCATTATTATTTGTCCTGTGTTACAAAAAAAACAGTTTTCTCTATATCAAGCATGTCAGAAATTTTATTTCAGTCATCCTAAAACAAATAGGTAGGATAAGGCTACATTTTACTTAAAAATTTCTTCGTTTTCAAATACCTTCTAAAGTTGACATTCGCATTGAGCTCGTTGAGCGCAGACTTCGACACTCCTTAAACTACAATTACGTAAATAATAGCCAGTTTACAAACGCCTACACTCAACGGACTACAGATTTTGAACACTAATACAGTTATCACTCCTGTTCAAAGATTTACAAATTTTGCTATATTTTTAAGATTTTAACGTTAGAACTTTTGTTACATTAGGTATATCTTAAGACGTGCAAAGGTCATGAGCAGGAATGTGATTTAAAGTAATATCGAGTCGAGAAACGACGACAAAATTGGAGAATTAACACATATCAGTCGACAACTCTGAATAGACCGTCGGCTGCGCGGCCGGCTCCTACTGCCTAGCGAAGGTCTATCACGTGTTAGTCGAAAATAAATATTATCATCTTCACTACGACAAACGGTTGAGCACCAACACCATCTACACAAACGATATCATCAAAGTTGTCGAAACACATCGGATACACGCTAAAACGGCAACTATTACGACGATAATCCGTTAGGTAATAAGCTCGGAAAGCTTTCACTCGAGTTCAGAGGCTCTAGAGGTCCATAACGATCAGCAAGGGGGCCCTTCCGACGCGGGCGCGCAGCAGTTCTCGTTGAGGTCGGTGGCGGGCTTGCGGCGGGGGCTAGGCGCGCGGCTCGAGGGTGGGCAGGGCGAGCGGCCCGAGGGGCCCGAGCGGCCCGAGCCCCGCCAGCGGCCCGCACGCGCGCCCCACGCCCGGGCCCGACCCGTCCGACGCGCCGCCTCCGTGCTCCAGCGACGTGAGGGACGGCACGGACGCGCGCTCCGACGGGGCCGGGGACGGCGCATCCACATCATTCTGCAACCATCCAACGCGCTCAGCGGGGGCGCCGGCTACAACACGCGGGGGGCGGGGCGGGGGAGGGTGGGAGGGGGACGGGGCGGGGGAGGGCACCGTTACTCACTCGCAAACCGTGACACCTCGCAGGTGACGGTCCACTGTCTTTGGCCGTTGCCAGAACACCTCATCACCAAACACCCCGGAAAAGTAAGCAAACAAGAGCAACAATATATTATTTTTTTTTATATTAAGCTTAATTCACCTACATTGTTCAACAATTGCAATGATTAGTATACTAACTCTATTTGCTTACTATCCCGTAGCTAATAATCGGAGACAGTCGACAGACATCTGAGAAGCATCACGCGGTCACTAAAATACTGTGCTGTTGATGTACTGATGAACTATAAATACGATACTATGGAAACAAAAAGTCGTGTCAACAAATATATTTTGAAATAAACTGCTTTACATTCTTGTTATCCAGTTTAACTTTATTTACTTCTAATTCTTACAGTACTTTGATCGTTTTAGTTGCAAAAGCCTGTGATATGATTTTATTTTGTTATTTATACCAGACTTTTGGAATGGGTCAAGTTTATGGACAGAAGCAGCGTTGAAGCTCTTAATTAATGACGTTAGGTGATCGATTATATTCTAAATCCATGAAAACACTCAAAATGGTAAACTAAAATATTATTTTGTGATTTTCAGTAGATTTTCTTGTAACAAGGATAACTATGAACATTTTCTACAAAAGAAAAAGTAGAAGGAAATATTTATGTGGACATTTTCTTTGTAAAAGCAGGATGGATTTAAAATGAAAGTGGAATGAGTAAATGGAAAGAGACAGCACATTTAGCGAGCGATTGGTGCGTACAAGTGATTCCCACCGTAAACAAACAAAATAAGCGTGCCAAAGAGGATTAAAGCAAGGAGGATTTTATCTAACAGCAGTTTTATAGAACGTTATGATCCTTTTATAAAAATGGTATTAAAAAATCATACGAACTATTTGGATGAACACACGACTTGTAGGAACAAAAAAAAATATTAAATATTAACGAGAGTATGACTTAAAACTAGAATGTATTACCTTGTTAGTTCATTGTGTTAGTAAGAAGAAAGCAGTATGAAGATTATACTATAAAATATTGAAAAGATAATCATGCGTTGTTAAAATGATGTTAAGAGCATAGCGTAAATAAATAAGTACATACATACAATCTAATAATAAATTATACATACATAAATACATAATTATAAATACTTAAGTTATAACAATTACCTAGTATCCTATATAAACATTTCTAGCAATTAATTTAACGTAGACAAGACACAATGGTTTATGGTAAATAATAACAACATCCTAGCAACATGGACGAGTTAATAAAGATAATAATGAGAAAAAACTGTGAAAACTACATGACACATTATTGTAAACAATTAATTTACGAAAAAACTATATATACCTATTGTATCGACTTTAATCGTATTGATGAACAACTTGTATGAATTAATTTATCTGTAGAATGTTTCGTCAATTTCTTGTGAGTCTAGGACAGATATAAAACCTTTTTAAAGTGTCATTATTCGTCTAAGGTCTATCACAATGTCTATAGCCGCCATATACCAGATGAATTTGAAAATAGAACTTAATTGATAGGCCATTAAAAATTTTTGGGCACTTGCATGAAGATGGCGCTAATTCAAATAAATTCTTTAAGTTAAAACAAAACATTCTACAAGTACCTAAAACTAATATTGATGTATAATGTTTTTTTGTATGAAACCTTTACAAAATAATCTACACTTCTAACAAATAACATGTTTTTACAATGATCACCAGCTAATAGCCGAATAAATTATTTGATTACTTTCAATATCAAAAATCTTCTACATAACAATAACTTTCTACATGGTTACATAGTAAAACGTAGGTACATAATAAAAGTTAGAAATACCTTCGGGTTTGAGGACCATACCTAAAACTTTACACCACAATAAGTACTCTATTATTCTTGTACACATCCATTCATTGTATAATAAACACTACCTACTTATAAATAACAACGTCATAAAAACATTTATCCATAAAATTTTATAACAAAACATTAGCATTAGGTATATCAATATAAAAAATACTCTTCATAAAATATCTAACATCGGTTTCATGCGATTTTGTTCGTATTCACATTACTTTTAAAGTTTCATTTTCTTCAACTACTCTATGGTAAATATTTTGATTTATTCTATTACCGTATATTCGTCCCAATACAAATATCTAGCGCTATCACATTGCACATACCTACATACATTTAGCACATATAAAACCTTCTAGCTCGTCAACTTTTTAAAAAACCGCTATTGTTTCATCTATATTGTCTATGGCATCCTGGAGTTTGGAACTCTATGACCAACGAGGTTTGTACTCTATAACGGGACAGTCGATCGTAGCCACACTATTTGGTACATTTTCTGTCTCTTTTTCTCTACGCACTTACTGTGAGCGACGCTCTTACAACCCAAGTATGCTCTCCTGAGCGCACTTGTCACTTTGCCCTGACAATCAGCCACAATCCGAATATTTAATAACAGACAACACCTACTTTTGAATAAATAAATGCTTGAAAATTGCTTCCTTTTAGCTATAGTACAAAAAATGCATCATTTCGCCGATTTAAGTACTTAATTATACGAAAAATATGTAGAGAAGCCACTCAAACCATTGAGAATGCGATTATGAAAAAAATCTGATTCGATTAACAGCATTTCAAAGGAAATCAGTAAGAAAATTACAGAAGCCCAAAAGATTATTACAAAAAAAAGTTATGGAGATAATACGGTAGTTTCCAACTAGTCAAATTCAATATTTTTATCTTGTCAAAAACGATACTTTACTATGAAATTTGCATGAAACTCCAAATTGAATGTAATAGTTTTTTTTTTCACAAATAGCTTATTTATTTCATAGAAATAATTTCAAAGATATTGATAATCGATAATTTTGTGTATCCGCAGATTGATGAATAAATATATAGTTAATTTTCTATATTTTATTGTCTTGAAACGTCGATTTAATTTATTTTTGACCTAGGAAACTACCCAATTATAATGTGTGAGAAATTGTAAATGATAATTCTTAGTGACTAGATAGAGAGTAAAATTCATGCTTATCACAAAATGTTCTCACCACGCTTATCCCAGGCCTTGCCTGCAATAACAACACGTGTTGACTAAACCTAATAAACCTATTCACATTAAGGCAGTGTTTCCGACTTATATTTAACTTACATCTAAATTATCAATAAATCATTAATATATAATAAAATATACATAAAACAAAACAATATATACATAAATATATAATGCAGTGATGTTGTGTTGTCCACTTGTTGAATTTGGCTTTCTTTTTACTGATTATGTATGCATGCTAGTATCTAAACCCTGTTTTCCATGGAGAAGTCTTTAAATTCGTTCCCAAAAACACATCGAATACAACGATTTATTTAGCTGAGGCACTAATTGATTGTTTCTAATTCTAAAATTTCTTGGTGCAAAATACCTACACATCAGAATGGTGTGTAAGTATTTTGCAAACACTAATTTTGAAGAAATGTAAAATAAAATATTATTAGCTGCATTTATGATGTTACTAATATGGTCCTAATTTGTTGGTTACATTAGTTGTATAGGAATTTTTTTTTATCATTTCTTGTCGCAGTATCTGTACCTGTCCAAATTTCAACTCCAAATTTCAACTGTCTAAACTATGACCATTCATGAGACACCTACAACCTGGTATCACTCTGAAAAACGGAAATCGTAATCTTACAAATAGGGTTCTTGTTTATTTATACCTTTTAGTTAAAGACCTAAAAACCCACCACCACCAGAACAGCTATAGCAACACGTGGACATCACAGAACAGAGGCAGAAGTTCACCAGAAGGTGAATAGAGTGAGTATGAGCGATGTGAAAGCGAGCATGTACTGCAGGATGCGGGCGACAGTTACCTTCAGCGGCACCGGGGGCACTTCCAGGTGGTAGCCGATGTCACACAGGTTGCGCAGTAGCTCCAATCCTGGAACACACAAATCCATGTATAGAGTGACATACATTTTTGTTATTGACTGCACGGTTGGTGCGGTGGCTGGGCAACTGGCGGCCGTGCAACGTGTTGCGGGTTCGATTCCCCATTCTATTCACGGAAAAATACTTTGTGTGATCCACAAATTGTTGTTCCGGGTCTGGGTGTAATGTTTATGTGAAATTGAATGTTTATAAACGCACCCACGACACAGGAGAAAATCCTAGTGTGGAGCAACGTTTTTACATAAAAAAAGTAAGTTTCGAAACTCATTCGCTTAATATTTATTCTATACAACAAATAGACGTTTGAAATTGCCGCTAACATCCATCCTTATCTGTAAGCCATCCACCATTAACCACAAACGTACTTTATAAGTGTGAAAAAACACTACTTTTATGGAGGAAACTATGGGCGTCGTCTGCAAAAGAATGGTTTACAATAATCTCCATGCTTAACAAGCTGGTCTGATATCGGAGTTTCGAAGGATTAAGTTTATTAGAGAGAGAACGTTGCCATGCCGAAAATGGGGCTAAAAATTAGCCACTTAGTCAACAATCACTACACTAATGGTGAGAGTACAGATGGTGAAAATAATAATAATAATCCACTGCTATATAGGTGCGTATGGACCTATATAGCAGCATGGACCGGACACAAGTGAAACTACTGAGGGCTTATAGCACACTGCTTTAATCCTGCATTAGATGTTTGGATGAGGACGCAGCGCACGCTTACATACGCGATGCTCACACATACATAATAATAATATAGAAATGGCAAGTCTTACCCGGTTCCCGATTCCGGCCGTATCTCGTCTCCCAGGCGTCGAACAGTCTGTTGTAGTACCTAGGTCCGGCCAGGAAGCCTAAGTACTTGTGTGTGTCGGGCGTCGGGAATATCCTCTCCATGTCGCCCGACTGCGTCAGCTCGTCTTCCGACTGGATGAGGTGACGCACGTCGTCCGGCGTCAATGTTGATAGAATGTCTCGCAGGTACTGTAATTGTTATGTTAAAGTTCCTTATCTACATCACCAAAGTTAAGAAAGAAAGGTCATAATCATAAAAGATTCTCCAAAAACAGTTAAGTCACTGGCTATACTGTATCTAGTCACTTTGCCTATAGCCTGTGAATTATGATTCGGTAGACACTAGAGGACAGTGCATGACTAGTTTGTAAGCTAAAAGAATAGAATATGAAAAATATTTATACAATATATTAATACAATATAAGACAAAAGTGTCTCCAAAAAGTCGAAGTGCAATATTTATCGACAGAGGCGGGTACTGTAATGTAAACCATATAATGCTCATTAGTACAGGTATGCATAAGTATTCTTTCTAACATTTTGAATAAGTTAATAAGAAATTCTCACCAATTCTCGATCCTCCATATTAGTATATATTATATGCTTATCTCTTTCTTCTTTAGACAGGTACACAGTATACAACCGGCTGTCGTATGGCAGCCCCGACTGAAACGAATTACAAACATTTAAATATAATTTATATTCATAGAAATATTTCACAACTATGTCACCGAATCTAAACTGAAAAGATTTTAAAATCTGGATAACACGTGACGAAACTTTTGTTAAATAAATTGCGTTAAGACGTAAGATGTCCCGGTTTGGATATATTATTTTCAAGTCAAAACTTAGCAAAGAAAAGATGTAAAAATCACCAGTTTATGTGGTTTATCCTTGGAAAGCATATCGAGGTTGGTCTTTACAGGAACTTGGAACTGCGCGATGTTGAGGACGGTGGTCACTAGCGGACCCTTCACGTGGATGTCCAGGGGTGACGCGCTGTGCAAGCTCGGAGATATGTTCACCTGAAAGATTACCACCAAATTGTTCACATGGGAGAACCATGCTTTAGCACGAATGGGCCGGCACAGAGTCATATCAGTCTCACAGAAAACCGGTGTGAAATAACATCGTATGTGTAGGTTTATGTGAGGTCTATTAGTCTTCATCATCCCCTATCACCCAATTCTCAACCGACCCCACCCAATCTTCGATCACTAAAAAGCTTGCAACACTCTTGTTACTTAGCAACTTCTCAAGTATAGCATGAGTCTGGCAGCGGTTGATGAAATCAGGTGATGTGTCTGCTCTATTATAAGTTATAACACAGGACAGCAAATGAATGGCTTATAACTAATAAATCATATGCCTGCCCATGCAATATGCTACAAAATAAACAACAAAACTATACCTCCAATAGCCAAGGTTTGAGATCTTCGTCCAGCAAGACGTCAATACCAAATAGTTCGTAGCAATTGTACCTCGAAGTTATATTGGCTTTGGTCAATGAGCTGATGCTTGCTTCTCCTGATATAATTGTTTTTATAACAAGATCCTTCATGGCATTCCATAAGCTGTCTGTGTCTACACGCTTCTCAGATTTCAAGTATTGTAATAACGTTTGTAGTGTCCTGAAAAATATAATAATTTCTTTATGTATTGATTTGCAAAAATAACAAATTACACACATTTCTGTAGATCGAAAATTTACGAAACATAATATATAACAACTGACTTAGAAAACAACATTAATTTCAAAATTCACTCAATAGGCCTTGAAAGCCCACAGATGGTCTATGGCCTTCCTCTACAAAAGAGGGGATTTTTTTGATATAATCTCCGCTCTTGACAAGTAGGCTGAGGATGGCTTGAAATTAAAAGGGTAACGTATCAAAGAACACCAAGACCAAGCAACATGGTCTGTTGAATACAGATCAGGCAGCACCTGTTCTTTAATCAACTCTTTTGATGCCCAGGGGAAGAATAGCGGTCAGAAATGTATTACTCAGCGGGCACTAGCGTTATTAACATGTTAAATCCCTTTAGGTCACCAGTGACCTACAATAGCGGAGAATATTCCTTCAATAGTTATCTGTCGGCAGTCAAAGGCTTAAAGCTGCTATTACTAACCATTTATGTCCCTCGCAGGCGGCGAAGTCCTCATTCGGCGTGTAGTTCTTAGACAATCTATTGATAGAGTAATTTGTCAAATGCATATACCTATCGTTCAACGATGCTAACTCGTCGTTGTACTTAACTGCAATAAAAAAAATTACATGTTATTCTAATATTATGGTATTAGCTTATCATAGAAGCCACGAGACATCCTATGTCTCACATAGGCCTCCCCCGACGATTTTTAGACAGGCAGCCTGGAAGGAGCATGCATCCATTTCAATTAATTGCACAAGGAAAACACTTTTCTACTACTGCAATTCCTGTAATTCAGGATCTACAGCAGATACAACTAGAAAAATAGCGAAACACTGAAGTCCGGAATGTCCTAGGGGAATGAATGACTGTCTTGGAACCCGCAAATAATGAGGTGTTGCTATAACTTGCATACTAGGCATACGGGTTGGAAAACACAGTTCAAAAGGCCTGGCTAAATATGTTGATTGGCGGTGACGAATGTATCTCTGCCACAACTAAGTACTACAGATAATTTAATTTAAGCATTTATTGTTCATACTAAAACATTAAGTACTTCATGTAAATTATAAACTAGCACATCAGTTTTCCCGGTTTAATGTCTCTGTTTCTTGCTTTTCTTGGTCAGGTAGCCTCTCCTATTTTTCTTATATCATAGTGATCAATAATAAAAAAGTAGCCAATTTAAAAGGTTAACATACCTGAAGCAAATCTGGCCAGTCCATCCTTATACAAATATATCCGGAGAGGGTGTACTGACGTTACGAGTACATACAGCCGGAGGTCGAATTTGTTGCCGTTTATAAGGTAAGGCTTCGACACGTATCGCTGCACAACTACGGGCCGCTTCTTGGGGATTTGTGTCCATTTAGATACTACTTTGATGCCAGTACCGCGTGCTGATGCCGGCTGGAATTTAAAACCAAACTTTTTAGTGTATATGCTAAAATTATCACCCTGTATGCGAGAAATAAAAGAAAGAATTGCGCCAAAGTAAACTTCCTTATAGATTATGCAGAATGTAATATAAACTCGTCTTTTGTTTACGAAAAAAAATCAATATCATCAAAATCAGAAAATTCATTATCTTTTAATTAAAACATTGTAATATCAGACGCACAGAGTGATAAAACAAATTGTCCTTGTGTACTTCATTCAATGAAATCAATGTATATTTATGCACCCCGTTTTTATTTTGTCTAGACGCGGGTAAATAAAAGAGGCGATGTTTTCGTTTCTGTCGTAAATATCGACATAATCGTAAATATTATACTTTTAGATTGATCAATGTCAATGCCGACCGCGGACATGGAAATACTAAACGTAACTTAAGGCTATGAAAGGCTAAACTAAACGTCTTTCGTACACTTGACACTGAAAAATAATATTTATTTTGATTCCTATTTTCATCAAATCACATCATCAGCCTATAAGTAGCCACTGAGCAAAGGCCTCTTATCCCGCCAAGGTTTAAGCATTAATCACCACGCTTGCTCAAGGTGTGGTGATTATAACTAGAAATTATAAATCGAGGTTTCCTCCCGATGTATTTCTTCACCGTCAGAGACACCCTTGCCATTGTTTTGTGGAAAAAGTCAAAAAGGTACTTGCCAGGTTTCGACCCTGCACGAGAAGCGGAATACATCTTCCAATTGTGAGCCCCTTGTGGCTAGAAACTATTCGAGACATGCTCGAACTAATACTTTGAAGTCACGATAGTAATAATTCTAAGATTTGTATGTACTTTTTTTATTTCGTACGTACCGGTTTGATAATCCATCGTTCGTTGTTAGCTGCATATTTCTCCCAGTCGTGCTTCAGCAATTTCATATCGTGAGGCAACACGTAAGTCTTCGGCATTATACCAAACTCACTGATCCCATACTTGGCGACCAATTTCTGTAAATTTCTCCACAACCGATCTTTGCGACCGATTTGAAAGGTCCCAGGGAAATGGTTCATTTTCTGTCCATCTTTGATCGCTCTGAACATTATTGACTTCATGTGTTTGCCCCAAATACCAATCCATTCTATTGTCTCTGTAATAATATCGTCTATTTTAGAAATTTAGACGCATTCGTCCGCTCTGCTGAATTCGTTGACATTGAAAAATATGAAAATTTATTAAAAATATTGTAAAACTACTCGCATAATGATGTATGTTTTAAAGATAACTGTCCTACCACTAAAAATACTACTATTAAGTGAATAGAATAGATAAAGTTCATCATTACGTATCCTTTGCATAAAATCCGGATAATAATAATAAAAAGCATAACCTTACCTTCTTGTGGACACTCAGCAGTATCACACTCGCTCTTTACCAACCGAAAACCAGAATTTGTTAGCGTCTTCTTCACAACTATCGGAGTAATTGTAGTCAACTTCCACTTCAGATGTTTTTGTATTGGCAGAGGTATCTTGAGACAGGGGCTCTCTTCATGGCCTATGAATTTGAGGTAGGGAGGGACTCGAGGGAATAGTGAGGGTCGGAGACAACTTGCCACTGACTCCGGTAGGTGTACTGGTGATTCTGAAAGATAAGAATGTTTGAATGAGATACTGAAACTAAGTAGTGTTTGGATATCTATGTGTAGCTATTAAATATAATTTTACAAATTTACATCATGGTACATTCTAATAAAACATTTATGTAACAACGATATTACTGATAAAAGAATATTAGAGTTAAAATAATAGCAATATAAAAAATTGTTCTATACATTCTACAAATTTTACTAAATGGATTAAAACAACATGAGCTGTGCGATTCATACGCTATTTCATTAGCGATTAGGTTGAAAATGCAGGTATAAACAAATTAATGAAGGAAAGCATACGACATACAAACGTTGTTCCACGGGTAATTAAAGATAAAAAAATAAATGACCAATGACAAACAAAATGAGGTTCGAAAACAATTGACCAAACGCCAAATACGATGACAAAAAGAAATATCCGCATACGACTAAATCTACGCGACACAAGCGAACAATAAAACGTATCATTACAGACAACAACAGACTTAATACAGGTACAAAACGCAACATGGACATTAAATAAAAAAGTTAGTAAAACTTCAGTTAAAGTTACGTTACTTTAATTGAAGTTATTACTGTAGCTTGTAATGTTGGGAAGCTATTGAACTAGTAGCGCTATAAAAGTGGGAGGGGCTTATCTTGCCTTTGCGTGACGGCAATGATTTGAATGGATTTGTTGTGTGCAAAGCTGTCAGAAACATTTGCTCCTTTGATACTTTGTCTGCGAACAACGAAATGTATTGGAATGAATTGTAATGACCGCATTTGTAGTAAAGTAGTAAAATTGTTTTACAAATTGATTGTTTTCAGTTGTTGAATTTGATTTTGTAAATCAGAGACCGTAACGGCTTAGCACGGTATGAATGGCAGCTTTTGCTATGTATTTTCGAACGAGTTAATTTCCTATGTGATCATAACATTTACAAGAACTTAAGATCTGAAAATTTTAAACGACAAATTGCGATGCCTTTAATCATTATCAACCACAATAGTTTCAATAACCAAAAATACATTATAATTTCATAATAATGGACAAAAATGACATTCACAAACTCTGTGTACTAAATTCATGGCGATAGAATACCATAGTTCGCGTGCTAAAGCTTAAAATAGATACCGTATCGTGCGTAACTAGCCTACAATAAATTAGGCCTCACATTTATGCTGTTACTTATTCAACTTGCATCATTTTACCGTGTCTGACTTACTACTGAATACTATCTTTAGTTGTAATCTGTAACTTAATCGTATTTTATGCCTGTCTTGTCAAGAGATAGGACATCGACAAAATGCTAATATTAAATTGAATGGCGCCGTTTCAACCTTAGTTCTGTTTTGGAATCAGTTGTTAACTTCAAGTATTATTTATTATGCTATAGTAATTTGAGACGATTTTATAATTCTAAATCATTGATAAACAAATCACGATACGAAGTTTTTTTATTAAAACAATTATCTACTAACGCGCTAAGAATCTGTCGGGTAACTTTAGTTTTAATACAAGTCTAAAGTGTAACATACGATTTATTGTACCTGCCTGCTTTGATCTAAGTGCAAAGTAAGTCGTAGTAATCTTCCAAGAAAAAGCAAGGAATATATAGTTTTATTTTGAAATTCTCTTCGAATTGAGTAAGAGTGATTTTTACGTTTCTGCGAAATGAAATCGCGGTTCCTGACGGACGATAACTATTATACATACATATAAGACTATGACCTTGGATAACAGTGAACATCTGATTTTCAATCAGGTAGCAACAGACAGAGACGTCTTTAGTTTATATGTAATCTGGGTGCACAAAATACCTTGCAGTGCGCTATTGTATGTCATAACCAAAAAAATATTTGGCGCAATACGCTCTTTAATGCCCTCTACGTTTAGTGTTCTCGCTCCCTCTTACCTAGACGTCCCCTAGCAACAGTAATATTTTGGCATATACCTTAAAATAAATTGTCAATTGTCTTACCCTTTGAATGTGTTTTCTTAGGGGTAACAACGGTTCCATTGAGCTTGCTAGACAGTTTGGTGACTAGCGTGAGATTCTCCTCGTCTTTCTTGGCCGTTGAAGGCAAAGCCGGTTCTTGCATGATCTCTAACTCCGCTAAAGCCGCATCAGTGTCCATCTGCCAGTGATCCATCAAGGGGTCTGGTGATGGAGATCTGCTGAGTCCACTGGAGGAGGAAAAATATGTTTGTTAATAGTTAATAAAAGTAGGGTTACCCTAATACTAGGTTTTTCTCAATTAATTCATCACACATATTGTTTCGTGCTGGAAAGGAACCGTGGCACGTTGCACACAGCAGCCGGTTACCTAGCTACTGCGCCTACTCCAAGTATAAACTTAACCGACTGCATTCTAATTAAAGTAATTAATCATATGTATTAACTATTCGCAGCAACAAAGTTCATCTTCCTATAAAGTAAAATCAAATTGTACAGAAATAGTAAAGTTACAATAAACTTTTAAAACAAGTAAAGAAGTTTAAATTAGTAGTTAAAAACAAGTAAAAGTAAACTAATCAGAAACAAGGCTGTTAACCCGAAGGATGTCGCAGACCGCATTGCGGGAACCAGGTGACCAAAATACGTTGCAAAATGGCGGTAAACGATTACCTATACAACATAATTTGATAATAACTTGATATTTTTGGAGGAGGTAATATCACCAAAAGCTTTTCTCCTAGGTGGGGAGAGGGGGTGTATTTTTTTGGGGACAAGCCCGAAGACACGCCCAGAACTGCTGTAAGCCAGGATATACAGTAAATAATAACCATAATAACACCGAAACACTGAAGTCCGGCGCGTCCTAGACAAGAACGACTGTCTTGGATCACGCAACGAAATAAATCAGAAAATATTATTTGAGAGGGAGTGTCAGACTCTAACTGACGAAAAATCACCCCTTAACTACTACTCCAAAGCGGGGCCACGGCAAATTACAGCATTTGCACCTCCGTTAGGTTATAGATTTACTGCAGTTTCTCAAAGGATATTCAGCTGTTGAATCATTTCTCAATCCATATTCTAGTAATGTGATTAAATACTTGATTAAATACGTTGTGATTAAATACGTTTTGACGTTTATTATTTTAAGCTAGACTTGATTGTTTCACTTAAATAATAAGACTATTTCGATAAGCTTTTCAGGATCAGAGTGTTAATTTTCCTTGATGATTGAATTAGACGCATTGTGTTAGATAGACCATTAAAATTAACATTCAAAAAGTTTAAAGTCAAGTGTTTAAGAGTGAAAAGATTATTTGAATAGGAAACTTGTACTCTTTTAATTTCATCCAGAACCAATGTACGAATAGGAGTTTTATTACTAGCCTCCAGGATATAAAATACATCTATTTGTTATTACAATTTTATTGTATTACCTAAACAGTGTGTAAGCGTCATAGACACATTCACAAAAAATAGACTGTTTATTTTTTTTATATTTCATGGCCTCGTTATTCCAAAAACGAATCTAATAAAACTGTTTAATGCTAGTAGGTAATCAAATGATTTAAGAGGGCACTGCATCTATACTAATATTATAAAGAGGTAAAATTTGTAAGTTTGTATGTAGGGGGTAACCTTTGGAACCGCTGGTCGGATTTCCAAATTCTTTTACTGATAGATAGCTACAACGTTCATGAGTGCTATAGGCTATAAATCATTACGCTACGATCAAATGGAGCCGAGCAGCGGTTGAAAACGCGTGAAAGTAGCTACTATAGTGTAAAATATCATCGAAATTTTGATAATTTTCCAAACAGTTATGATGTGAATTTTTCTTTCGTTTGTCCCTTCCCCTGTCCTATACATTTACAAGGTACATAATGAAAAAGTGTTCTCAATTCACATAAAATTTTATACATTGAAAAACTTCACACGGAAAGAGGACCATTCTAAAATTATAAAAAGTTTATCTAAAATACTAACATCTTTACATAACATTATCAGCAGAAACACGTGTTGTTATTGCGCATAAAATAGTTTTAAATATCAAAATTGAATACGCCACGTGGTGGGTAACAGAGTACCTATTGCGGATTTGTTTTAAGGCCATCGCCATGTTTATAACGTTTGACTCGCTGATTGGCCAGCTCAAAGTTAACCAACCAATCAGAGGGCTTAACCGGACGGATATAAAGAAAACTCACACTAGGCAATCAGGCCCCCATGTGTCGATATTTGAATGAAATCGCTAGCAAGCATCAAGGTTGAAGGAATAATCTTTGCATGAAGAGCGACTGTAAATGGTTGACCTACATTATTCTACTCCAGTTCACCACGTTTGGTTAAGAAAATAATAGTCGATAATCCTAATACCTTAGTATGACTGCGAAATTGTCGTTGACTAAACACAACAATGAAAAAAATTATCTTGCTACTATGTACTTAATGACAATGATTGAAATTAGCTTAGTGACAAAAACTTACTCGTCGGTCTCCAAATCGTGAACGCAGCAGTCGGTGTTACTTCCTGTCTTCATCTTGGTACATTTAGGCTTGGCTGTCTTCAATTTTTTCTTGACTTTGAGGGCTTTCTTTGCGACGGGTATCGTGGTCACTGAACTTACAGGTAGCGCTGGGCTCACCGCTGGGCACGTGGGAGTGGGCGTGTCTTGGCGTGGCTACACGGAAATAATGAAAATTTAGTGTAATGTTGAAGTGTAAATGACTTGTTTGGGTTTTGTGATCTGATATTTTTAGTGAAAACCAGATACTAATGCGTTAAACTTGTGATTTTTTCACCTGGCTCTTACTGACCTTCAGCTGCTTTAATTGGTTCAAGTTTTTCTTAGTACAAGGTAATTTAAACAAAACTATGTGGCAGTTTCGTTACAACGTAGTATTCAGTAGTATTTGTATATATAATTGTCTAGGAAATGAGCCAAATGAGCACGTGCTTGTCACACCAAACACGCGCTACTTCCAACCATTCAAAACATCAAACACCTTCCTAAATATTTTATGTAGTAACATATCACAAACTAAATTTCAATTCGAAACACGTCTGTTATTCGCCTTACTATGTATAACGCTTAAATCTTTGCTAAAATTCGTTTGCCTATATATGACGCCACAAGATTATTTTTTATTTTACTATGTTTGTGGCTTTTTCGTAAGGGGTAAATTCGCAAATGACTTCTCCCGCCACGGCTGCGGGAGGGAATGTCGGACTCTTACTGACTAAAAACGCCTTTTTGCTGCTCTTGGCCGAGGCCGTGGTGACTTATTCCGCTTGCCCCGCAACCCTGGCTGAACATCAGCCCTGTGGCCCCGTCTGTAGTGTTTATTTATCAGCTCTTTCAGGTGCGCAAAGAGTCATACCTGAGGCTGGACGTAACTAGTATCCATTACTCTTGGACCACATAGCCGAATCCTAAATTTCGAGGAGTAACATAAATAAGATTTGTCTTAATTACAGCAACTTATAAATATTTTAAAACGTTTCTATTTTTTGTATTGAGAACAGGGAAATGAAAATTAATGTGTCTGTTTTTGAATAGACACGTAGACAATACCTTTACATTGACAAAGCGGTACAACACTGGGTCAAGGATGCAAGAAATGTTTTAGATTTAGAACACATTGTAGCCTAGCGAATAACTAAGTGGATTTAAGAATAGCTAGGTCTTCTATTGTGTTGTTTGTCTTTGAAACTCACTGCCTTTTCTTAGGGTAGGGGGGGGGTCATCACATGATTTCTCTCACCCAGGGTGTGGTGAGACGGAGTGTCAGACTTTCCTGACCAAAAACTGCCCCTATCCTTCTCCTACTTCAGATCGATACATAATGTGTCGTACGCTTGAGCCACCATTAAGACCTTGTTTCACAATATACGAATAGCCGATGTGCTTGATAAAGTTTTTATAATAACTATCGTGAGAGATACTAAATTAACTAAAAATCGCGGGTTACCCACGTGTATAATATCGAGAAAAGCTCTACTAATTTCGAGGTACTCAGGTAGGCTGCGCGACATCGCCGCATCCGCGCACGCTGCTCATAAGTAAGAACCCCTCTGTGGTTGGAAACTAGTAGAGCTTTTCTCGATATTATACACGTGTGTAACCCGCGATATTTAGTTAATATTGTGCTTGATAAATTTGAATATAGTACGTAATTTGTTTGAATTATTTGCAACATACATTTATCGAGAGTTTAAATGAAGATTTGAATCGTCGTATTATGAGACACAAATAGTAAGAAAATCGGTTCGCGAACGCAATATCGCAAAGTACAAAAGTTTAGGCATAAGGATGTTTCTTCTCTTAAGTTTTGTTTATTTTTAAACTTTGCCCTCTCACTAAGATTGTATGAAAACCAAAACAAAATTGAAAAAAATAAGATTTCATCAATAAATATAGGTATTTAATAATTTAACACCAAAAAGTTTTGAAAAAAAATGTCATTGATTTCAGGCGTCATTATATTAAGACTAAGGTTAATAAAAATCATAGAAAATCTGTTATGCTTTAGAAATATACTGTGTTTTTGTTGACAGAAAAGCACTATTCTAGACTCCTTGCTATTAATTAAACTTCTTATACAATCAGACCAACTATTAAAGTACCTTTGAATAGCGATAAAAAAATTGAAAATGGAATAAAAAAATAGGTCAACAGAAATAAGTTGAGACATTCAGAGATTTACCAACAACATACTCCATTACTTTCGCAAATAATATTTGGCAAGCAACACCGGTATCTTGACAGATGAACACTTAACTAAACTTCTTCATTTCAATCAGCGGGTCAAATATAACCACACAAAACATGTCAAGGTTCACGAAACAAAGTTCGAGTTAACAAAACTTTGAACAACTCATACAGGGTACATGCACACAACTATTTTTTCAAACACTTTTCAGTCACAATAATCAACTAATTAACAAATTTATTGACAGGAGATGGAAACGGCACGGTAGTAACAGTGATAATGCATCGTATTGACATTTTGTACACTTTTGGCGTGGAGCCAGGTCGCGTGAACCGATGCCACAATAAAATCTAAAGTGTACAGAATTAAACAGGCAAGACAATAAAACAAGACGGAACGAGATGTAACAAGTAACTATAAACCTATCCGCACCCACACAACCACACATAAATTAACACACTTGAATAATTAGACAAAAGCTCTCACTTGTCACACGTGAAAAGTCAAAGGATATTTAATCACAGGCAATATTGAAACTTGAAAGTAAAATTAATAAGCTACATAACATTACTCAAATAATTTACGTTTTTAACTTTGAAGTTCCTGTAATATCTCAAGTGTATGCTTGTAATCAACATTTTTCTTCGAGCGCCCGCCAAGTTATGCTGAAAATCGCGCCAAAAGCTAGAGACAGGCGGGCGCCGCCGCCTTCGTAGGATCGATAAGCAATTGAAAACTTTTTTCGCAACATTTTTAATATTTTCCGAGTGAAAAGCGCTTACACAGATATTTAATTTCGTTGAAGAATATTTATTAAGTAAATTATTACATTGGCTATTTTGTTGAAATAATAGACAATAAAGATATACAAGTACAGAAAAAATATGCCCTATAAAATTATTTATTTTAATTATAATTATCAACTTACATTTTGGGAAAACTTCTTCCAAACTTTATTTAAGAAACCCATACCTCCCAAAAAACGCACTACTACAACGAAACTACGTCACAGACTAGCCGATAGCCACTGCGATGCCGTCACATAAGTTTATTGCATGACACACTGTTTGGTTACGTCTTGCATAACACGAACCATGAACACGTCACATTCATAAAAGAAAAACTAACTTGGTCATATCATCGAAAATAACTACAGACGAGAGAAGAGAAAAATTCCACTACTTCCGCGAAAAACTGTGATAAAAACGAAACGGTGGTGTAAACAGACCGTCATTTTTTATACAAATTTTCTTTTAAGTGCTTGTCTTCAGTCGTAGAGCAATTTTATCGTCGCCAGATTATAATTAAGATATCCGAATTTTATTCATTGTTCTACATGAAAATTATGGTAAAGGATGACAGCGTTATGGTTTCTGTAAGGTTTATTAGTGAGCGTGCTGGTAATGTTTGCTTTATTTTAACGATGATGTTATAAATTATGTTTGCACGAGTCAAATTTACCGAATATTTCAGGAGTTTGTGTAACCGTGGTATAGTTCGTACCTGCTGGAATTTGAACCGTGTCCAAATATCGTTTGAAAATATCCTGTAGTCCACCTGTTACGTTGTAATTTCCATGTAATTAGGGGGCGAGAATTTTGAAACGAGTCGGCACAAATACACCAGACCGCACTATTAAGACTAAGTGGGTTCTAAGAAACGCTACATCATTTAGCCGCCTATGTATACGACTTGGTCGTCAGGGGTGAAATCAGGACACCAAAAAGTTTGAATATACCTACCCCAAAAACACACCGCTACACCCACACAACGATTTAATAAAATTTCTTAGTAAATCACGAATAATTTCACAAATTATCACCTGGCTATCAAACGACAAAAACATTCTATTTTCGAAATGAACCGCGTTAAATTGGAGAGCACGCCTTTGACACAATTCCAACCGAAATTCAAAATTAATACGGGATTAAAAACACGTGCTTCTGCTGAAACCAACTCTTCTACACTAACATTAAGATGAAATGTATGTTTGTTTGAAACACGAGATAATCTCTATATAGCTATGTTCTTCCTTAACATCCTATCGTAAGTTTAACCTACTAACATAAAAAAATTACTCATCGATTCATAACTATCTTAAGCAACTGCAAGTCCGAAGTTATAAAAGATACATTCATAACACAATATGGACGCAACAAAATCCGCAGGGCAAGTACTAGTAGGTACACAAGACGAAGGAATTTGAAACATGAGTCATGAAAGCGAAATAAACAATCTTGGGACTTGAATAATCACTTTAAGGCGAATATGAATAGATTTTGAATAGTGATGACGGATACATGAGCAAGGAAATAGTTTTTGTATATTACGTATGCCGTTGACGTAGAATACCACAGAGACGGTGCGGTAAAAAACAACAACATAGTTTAAGTAGATACTTTTCTGAGAACTTCGCGCCTTTTTAAGGGAAGGAAGAAAGCGAAAGGGAGTGTCTCTTATTGACTTAAAACCACTCCGCTCATACCTGCTTGATGCCTAACCTGGTGCTAAAAGATTGATTGAAGAAAGTAAAGCAAGGAGCGTGGTAAAACCTTCGCGCTGCTGTGCTGTGAGACGATCACGGTTAAAAAGCCGGGTAAAAAGTTGCCTCCTTTTTAGAGAGCATCGCTGCTTCGCAGAAAAAAGAAACGGGTAAGCATAGTAGGTAATGATTATTGATTATATTTCTGAAGTTCTCAACACAATAAAAAGTTAACACCCTAGTCATCGGAGAATGATTTGTTGCTTGATGTACGCAAAATTGAGAACTACTAGCCATACCCAGAAACGCGATTCGACAGTGAAAGCCTGCTTTTAAGTAAATTAGAATTAACGATTTCAGCACTTTCATGTATAATTTAATACTTGTTTGCATTTGTTTCTAAATTATTATCATAACTACATGCAATAATTGCATGCTATTTATAAGCATTATACATTTTTGATTTCCGCACTCAAAGAACTGTGT